ATGCAAAAATAAGAGTCAATAAGATCCTAATTGTGAATTGAACAAAGAAACATGCACAAGCTATAAAATAGAAATTGGTAAAAAAGTGGCAAATATATTGTTTCCTTGAAGGAGAAGACAATATCAATCACAATAAGACCTGAGTTTTTTTTTTTTTGCCCCAAATTTATTTTAAAAATTGTCCTAATAATTTAAAAATTCAGTCAGAGATTTGTGTTGAAAGATAATTACCTGACTTTTAATCCTAAGGACAAAATGACACATAGATACCACTCTAAATTTCTAAATATGAGGGTGCCCAAAACACATAGCTGGAAGTGAAGTATCGAGAAAGATTAAGAGCTTGGTCCTTGAAGCAGAATTGTCAGGAATAGAGTTCCACCTTCAGCACACACTAGCTATGTGACCTTGAGCCATTTCCTATTCTGTGCCCCTCCTCCTCCATCTGCGATGCAGTGACAACTACAGTTCCTATTTCATGGCACTATCATGAGGATTAAAGAGTGAATATCTGTAAAACTGTGCCTGACCATCCGGAACACTCCGTGAACAATAACGGTGATTGCCATGAACCATGCCCACTTGCAGGATGAGCGGGATGCAGAGTTTGTCTGAGTAAAGACCAGTGGTTTAGAATTGCCCTGTACTCATTTTGACTGGAGTTCAACAGCACCATCTTGGTCAGAGGGAGGAAGAAAGGAACAAGTAGAAAAAGCTGTCTCGGTTACACGATTCCATCCATGTTCCTGGTTCCTTAGCCCCGGGCTTCATACCACTACCGCACTTCCAAAGACTACGGGGCTCCAGAGGCACCGTTTATAAATGCTATTCAACAGGGTCACTTCTCTCTCTGGCTTTTCTCAAACTAGGAGTGGGGAAGGTGGGAATTTAGCCAGATCCTCAAGTGTGAGGTGGGACACCCATGTGTCGGTGGCTATAGACTCCGCCTATAAAGGTGGCGCCAGAGCCTCGGGCCACGACAGCCTGTTCTCTCTCAAGAATGGCAATGTCTGTGAAGAGACCAAGTCCAGAGTGGACATTTATGAATGGCCGTTACTCTCTTTTTAATACTTTTAGAATATATCCCATGCTTTAAACTGGGAATCTGTTACTATTGTAAGAAAAAAATGGAACAGTAACAACAATAAAGTCCCAAATCTACAGACATCTCAAAGCCTCTGTCTTCAAACTACTACTTCTCAGCTGTCCTCTAAGGGAACTCAGCTTGTGGAACCTGAGACCCTTCACAAGCGCCTTCTCCCACTCCGCACCTCACCCCATTGCTACGACTGGAGCCTGGAAGACCCTCACCGCTTGGAAGGTACATTCTTGAGAAACCTACTGTCATTATGTGCTTGTCTTGGCAAGAGCCCGTTTTACCCCTGCACACTGAGAGCACATGACAGCAAGTCTAGTAGGTTTTCCAGTCCACTTTGCCACCCTCCAAGCACAAGTTACCTTAAGGAAGATGGAGGATTGAAGAAATGACCCAGCTTTGAGGCCAGGTCCCATTTTCAGCAGCAAGTGGGCTTTGTTAGGGGGAGAAGGAAGCGATGAGACCTACGTATTAAACTGGAGACAAATCACCTGCGGAGGAGTGGGAGTTGCTGATTTTGACCTGCACTCACCCATTTTCCTGCAGATGGTGTGCTCACGTCTGCGATTCCCAGCTACAACCTGTTTGTTGTTGGACAGCAAACGTCTGACTCTGCCCTGAAATTGTTCTCGGCTTCTTGGTGTGATTCCTCTGTATGACCTTCCATTTTCCAAGCATGTTCTTCAAGGGTTTCACTCACGACCGACGCACAGTGCTGCTGCAGTCCCGCCCTCATTTTGTCTCGCCCCACAAGTGGGCAGTTGTGTTTCCTGTTGCTATACGACTACTCACAATTACAGCAGAAACACCTCCAAATACTGCATAAAATCTCTTGTCAAGAGACCTTGTAATGGTGTCTGTCAAGAATATGAAGAGGAAAAGAAATTAAATTACAGAAGAACCCCCTGATTAAAAAAATTATCTGAAGACACATGCTTGAGTAGCGTAGGCTGCAAACCTGGCCCACTTCCTTTCCGTAGTCACTGCGGAGGGGAGGACATGATTGTTGCTGCAGAGATGTCTCTGCAGGCGTGATAAATTTATCTGTGATTGGACCAATTGGAATTTCATGGTCTGAAGCATTATGCATTTGTCAGTCTTGTTCAATTGTTTTCAGCAAAGTGACTCAATCATATTGTTCATGTCGCTCCGGGAAAAAAAGTGAAATGGTCTAAAATTAGATTGTGTACTAACTCCAGGCAATTGGTCTTTGTCCAGATACATTTTCCTATCTGCTGATAGATTCCTGTTGTAAAACTTAGAACCCATTTGTGACAAGTCACAGCTCATTAGCCATCTGTTTCTCTATTACATACCTTTGTTTTATAACGTAAGAATTTAATTTTCATGACATTTACCTAAAAATATTTTATAGGTCCTAAGAAATGACAGCAAACATAAGCAGCATCTCACATTAAATCAATCATTTTGTTATACATATGTTTAAGGATATAATGATTCAAAGATGGGAAGTTCATATAAAATAAAAATAACGCCCAAGGAAGACTACGAAAATAGCTTCCCAGATAAATAATGCAATCTTCCTGCATTTCAAAATATATGGGCAATCAGCACAGGTTTGTAGATGTCAGATAGAAATACGAATGCTCTGATGTCCATAACAGTGGCAATGATCAGGAACATTTTGCCTTTGCTCCCAGATTCCACTAGTGATAGCACAGTTTGTTACCTCCTTTACAGCAACCCCAGAGTAGCAACGGACAAAGAAAAGACAAGACAGTAAGCTGATTGAAAGACTTTGGTTAGAGGTGGAGAGCAGGTGAGTTGCCCTCGACTGCGTGGTGACATCACTCCGGACGGCAGCCGTGGGGCTGGTGGTGTGTGTTCTATTCATCTTGGCACCCCCAGCACTTAATGCACTGCTTGCCTGTGTTTGACAGATTTACTTTGTAATTTTTTTCTAAATATAAATATGTCTTCAGCAGTATAGAACATTTTGAAATTACAAAGAGTTTAAAGAATGAAATATATTTGCCCATAATCCTACTACTCTTTGATAGAACTCTTAGCATTTTATCATTTATCTGATAGCATTTCCATGCATGTCCGTGTGTCTATACACATGCCTATACACACACACACATGCACACACACGAATTCATAATTGGAGTTGTACTCCATATGTTTTTTGAAACTTTTCATTTAATTTTTATCATTGCAATACTTACAGATATTTTTTAAAAGTCAAATTGAATTGCCTGGCTTATAACAGAAAAAAAAGTGTCTCCTAATTTACTCCTTCTTACTCTCCATTCCTGCTCCTAAGGGCAACTACATTTCACACTTGTAGCTGTTCCCTCTGGCATTTAACTGTGTTCCTATTAATACACAGTCTGCTTATCCTGCTCTTGCGTGATGATTCAGTTTAGAGTTTTATAACTGCCTTCCTATTAGGGGAGATGAGATTTAATTCTCTTCTATTCCTCACCTCTACACAGACCGTCTCTGAGGGCAACCACATGTGGCCTCCATGGGTATTGATATTAATATTTTATTAGTTTTTCTAGTATTGAATCATTTGCATGCTTTTAAATCTTTGTCAAATACGTTTTTTCAATTTGTTTTCTTTAATAACTTGCATATTGTATTTTATTTATATTCGTGTATTTTCTCCCTCCTACTTTCCTTGAAGTTGCCTTTTATAACTTGAGCAGTGGTTTAACAATTTATTATTATTCTATGATGTTTAATAGCAAATATAATTGTTATCTTTTTTGTAAGTGTGTTGTAGCAA